GGTGGAAGACGTGTAAAGTAGAGGAGAGAGGATGTGTCATGATCAGAGAAATATCCTTATTCACGTGTCCTTCGGGGCATCAGCTTTGATCCCCTGTGAACACTGGGTAGGAAAATTTAAAGAGAGTGAGGGGAGCTCTTGCATCAGGAGTCCAGGATATGATGTAGAGGTTCCAGTGGTCAGAGATCTGTGCCTCCATGGAACCATGTATACTTCCCATGCCAGATCCATCACTCACTAATGATGTGATGCTAAAATCCACTTAGCTTCTCTAAATGTCACAACCACTCAGTATAAAACAGGAAGTACAGCCCCTCCTCTGTCCGCCCACAGGCTGATGTAGGGATCACGGGTCATAATGCCAGATGTTCCCTAATAGATGCAGAGCATCATACCCATATAAGGGATGAGAAATAAACTTCCATCCTTCAGTGCCCTGGGGTGATGCAAGCGCCCTACCTAGTGTCCACTTTGTTCCCTGTGGCATTGAGGAAACACAGGATGACTAAGGTATCAATCCTCTTCCTTACCTGGATTTAGAGATTTTAGTCTCATAATCTGATAAAAAATAGTCCTATCATCATTTTAATATGACTGCAGAGAACTGAAGACAGAGGGATCTCATGACCTTCTCAGGTTCAGGTACCTCTAAGTGGGGCTTGGATTCCATCCCTAACTCTGCACCAGCACCCTGTTCTCCCTTTCTCTGCTCTGCTGCTTTTCTGTGTGGTCTAGTCTACATGAAGGCGTGGCCCACAGACTCCCTGAACCCCATAATTTCCCTGAAACCCAGGTTTGGTTCAGATGGCTTGCTTGGAAGCCAATAAACATGTTGGGTTGTGGGTCAAAGTGTTAGCACCTATGCAGTGTTGCTAAGTACTGTCCAATGTCCCCAGAGAGGTTAGGTCATGCGTTCTTAGCAACCTAAGAAAAATTTGTCTTTTTGAATGAGATGAAGAGCTGTTTGTCCTTTTTTTCCTTGAACTATTGGTTCATGTCTCTAACATGCTTCCAAGGGATTGTTGGTAATTTTTTCTTTTGTATTTTTAGAGACTTAAGTACTATAACAGGCAGAATTTTTCCTTTTCACTATTATCTTTTGGGTTCTGTTTATTTGAACTGTATGTTATAGAAAGTTTTCTAAGTTTATAGAACCAAATTTGACTATATGGTGTCAGGTGTTTCTAACACTTAGAAGTCCTTGTGGTCACTCTCCACAGTAGTCTGCACTACATTGACAAAAAACAGCTAGTTATCAGTTGAATAGGAGCTCTATTTCCCTTGTTTTTGATAATTTGTTCATCTGTGTTTGTTGCAGCAAACAAATGTCTTTCCTGCTCATGTTGCCCCTGAATCCTCCCACATGTCCCACCGATTTCTGTCTAGCCCCAGCCTGTGCCCCAACCCCACTCCTGGCCCCTTCTCACCTCTGGTGGCCCTGCACCTCTGTAGATCACTGACCTCTCTTCATTTACAGTCCCTGCCCACCCCTGCTGGTCCAAGGCCCCTTCCTCCCCTTGATCCCTGCACGCCCTCACTGTTCCACAGCCCCTTTCCAGGCCCCTGTTTCTGCCTAGTGGCACCCATTCACAGCCCCCTTCTGTGTCCTTGGTGCCTGCCTGGCTGCACCTATCTTGTTCCCTTGCTCTGATGGCGTTCCAAGAAGCACAACCAAGTCCTTCTAGAGCCACAGCACATGGGACCCTCTCCACCCACATTCCACCAAGTTCACTGCCAGGGTAGAAGGCTGCATTGGTGGGGGTGGTAGCCATGATTCCAAGTCCAAGAAAGAGCAGAGTGCTACTGCATCCTGCCCAGTTCACCTCCAGGGCAGAAGGTTGTGCTGATGGTGTAGACAAGGTTCCAGTCCCACGAAGAGCCGGATCTGTCTTGCTTGCAGGGTCACCTATGGGACCACTGATCACAGCACTCATTACTGCAAGCTGATGTCCGTGGACTTGGCCTAGCAGGATACCTTTAATATGGGAGATCACATTGGTTGAATTGTAAATATTCATTGGGATTTCTTCCCTCCAATACATCAGTTGGTCATTCCGAATAAAAGCTGATTATGGTTTAAGTAATTTTGTGTTTAAATTCCTAAGGGATATTTTTCCGCATTTTTGTCTGCTCTGGGCATCATGGTAATATTAGCTTCATAAAACAAGTTCAGTGTGCTTTCCTCCTCTATTTCCTGGGATGAGATTGTGTAGAATTATTAATTCTTCCTAAACTATGGTAGATGTCTCCAGTGAAAACTTCTGGACCTCAAAGTTTCTTTTATGTGAGGTGTTAGAACACAAATTCAATTGCTCTACTATTTAGAGGGTTATTAAATTCAAAATACAATATTTCAAATTGGATGAGTTTTGCTAGTTTGTTTATTTTCAAGGATTGGGCCATTTTGCCTAAGTAGTTTATTTGGTGGGTGTGCCTAGGCTTTGTTGTCCCTAGGCTTTCTTTGTCATTCTTTATATGTTTGTAAGATCTGTAGTAATATTATCTATTTTATTTCTGAAATTGTGAGATTAGTAATAACTTTGATATTGGCCTTTTCAAAGAAGCAATTCTTTGTTATATAGATTTTTCTTCTTTTTTTTTTTTTACCATAAATGTCACTCTGTTGCTCCAGGCTAGAGTGCCCTGGCATTAGCCCAGCTCACAGCAACCTTACACAGCAGAAACTTATAGCCCAGAGAGAGTGGGGAGACATAGTCAAATTCCCATAAGAAAAACAGACAGACAGACAAATACCATGTTAACCAGTAATACTCTGCCATTCTTCTAGACATGGAGAGGCATCTTTTGTGCATCTTACTTGCCTTCTCTTGACAAATCAATAAAGTAGATGGATTTACACAGTTTTATTGGCCTTTTCAACATCTCCTTTTGTGAAATACCTGTTAGTTTTGTCTATATCTGTATTGTGTTCTAAGCCATTTCCTTAGTATGTAGGATAGTTTAAAAATATATTTTGTAAAGTGTATTTTCATGTTTATGTGATGTTTTGCCTCTCTGTGGGTTTTAAACTCCTTTAAAATGTATTAAAGTGGATAGGAGTTCTTGATCTTACTGCAGAGAATCTGTACTTGTAATAATTTACAGTTACTTTCCTCTTAAAGAGTTTTTCATGTTGACCCGCTCCATAAGTTCAAACAAGTTTATAGTTAAAAGGAGGGGACATCTAGTTATACTGCCATCTCTACTATACTCTACACACTGCAGTGCTGCACATAGAGTCCCCAAAGTCAGAGAGGGACAGTTCCTTGTGATCCTCTGTCACACCCAACAGAGGGTGATGTTGGCAGAGTCACTAAGAGGACAACTATTCTAACAATCTGCACAGGACATATTAATGGAGTGATACATACATTCACCCACCGACGACTTTACAGAGCTTCCTTGGAGATGGCCTTCAAGTGACATCTGAGGGAGACTTTGCTTGTGGGCATCCATGACACAGGACGCCTTTCCACAGGGAGGATTTCTTCCTGCTCATAGCTGGTCCTGAAGAGGATTCCCTTCTTCTCCTGCTGGTATTGTCTTATCCTAGAATAGGATGATCTTTTTAAATAAAAACAATACTACAAAGGTTGGCTATACTTTTTAGCATCTGAAAAATTCATTTATACAAGTATTATTTCAGTTTTTGTATAAACCCCCCCCAAACTAGAAATCCGGAGGTAAATGTCATTGTGGTATTTGTGACATTGGTCTTTGCATGCACCTACATTACATTTTAATTATTGGGACAGCACACACACACACAGTTTCCTAGGATAGAATAACAATAGATGCCCAAAGTCATGACATTGTATGTTTGCTTGTGTTATGGTTTGTATACATGGCAAGTCTCTGACAGTGGTAAGGGGAAAGGGCCATTGTGGACCTGGGAACTCATTCCATCACAGATGTTTCTCTTTGGAAAAAAAATACAAACTATTTCCTTATCAGCACTGTTTTAGAAAATTTTTTAGGAAACAATTCAGAAAAAATAGCATGTATATTAGTCACTAACAGGGAGCAAGAGACTATAAGACTGTAATTCACTGGCAAAATTGTACCAATAAACATTGTACCATAAGCCAATACCTTGGAAAGGCCTCAGCTGTTGACAAAGAAAATACCATCCATACAATTTCATCAATAAAAGGAAAATACTTTTATGGTAGTGTGGACACAGATATATGAAGCTCACTATCTGGAGGACAGAGTCAGGGTAAGGACCCAAAAGGACAATACCCACTTGGAGGTACGGTGGAACCCCAAGTACCTCAAAGCCAGTTTTCTTGCAAAACTATCAAAACTTGAGAAGAAAATTGTACCCATAAAATCTCCAGAATAGAGGAATGGGAATGCATAACAGCAACTCAAAATTAAGTTCTCGATGTCACAAAGGAGGCAGGAAAGCTGGAAGAACTATTCTGAAAACTAGCAGAAAGGCCATGACTGCCTAACTCTATTACTCATTTTAATTTTGTTTTCATTGTCAATGAACATAATTATAAATTGATTTTAATCACTTCAAGGCTCCATTTAATTGGCATTAAGCTTACCATGTTATGCAATCCTCACCGCTATCCATTTCCAGAAAGAACATTTTCATCACCCTAACCAGAAACTCTTTATCTATTAAAAATTAACTCCTGGCTCAGTGCCTGTGGCTCAAGTGGCTAAGGCGCCAGCCACGTACACCTAAGGTGGTGGGTTTGAATCCAGCCCAGGCCCGCCAAAGCTACAATGACGGCTGCAACCAAAAAATAGCCAGGCGTTGTGGCGGGCACCTGTGGTCCCAGCTACTTGGGAGGCTGAGGCAGGAGACTCGCTTGAGCCCAGGAGTTGGAGGTTGTTATGAGCTGTGATGCCACAGCATTCTACTCAGGGGGATAGCTTGAGGCGCTGTCTCAAAAAACAAAAAACAACAACAACAACAACAAAAACCAATTAACTCCCTATCTCCCATTCTCACAGCCCCTGGTAACCTCCATTACTTCCACTTCCCTGAATTTTCCTATTCCAGGGATACCCTATGCATCGAATCTTACAGTATCTGTTCTTTTCTTCTACTTCTCTCAAACAACTACATTATGGTGGGCAGTCATCTTTCAAAGCTGCCAGAAAGAACCTACGCACTTAATTACAATCATTTTCTATGATTATCATAACATCAACTTTCAACACCATTGGTAAACATAAACCAAGGTGTGAAGTTTGGCAATTTTTAGATTCCAGGAATGAGCTTCAAAAGGATCAGACCATTTAGTATTGTCATCTAAATAAACCTCAACACATAGAGTGACTGGGGACTTAGGAACCCCTCAAGGGCCCTGAGCATTTGATTCCACTGGGGCTAAGCCCTGGAGCCCTTCAGGGTCCCCTGAGGACAAACCTCCACGCCGCCTGCAGGGAGGACGCGGCCGTGCCTCGGTTCAACCTTTCAGAGGGTCAAAGGAGAAGAAAGCTCAGAAGACCAATGTTCACCTCTCAGGGCACAGGAACCGTCTCTACCACAAACGTCCCTGGGCTCAGATTCTCTCACTAGGGCCTCCGTGCCTGAGGGGTAACGACCGCAGCCAACGTCCCCGCTGCAAAGTCCATAACGTCCTCAACTGTCTCTTGGTTGGAGACAGCTGGATCTAACGAACGTGACAGACAAGCGCGAGCCCCGGCCGGCCCCGCCCATCCTAACCGCGGCGCCAGGTCCCGGATGGCCCCGCCCACCGCGGGAGAGGACGTCCTCGGCCCGCCCAGAGACTTGCCTCTCTGGCGCCCTCTCTGGACGCCCAGAATAATGCAGGAGGTCTGTGGGAGACGTTGGGGTCTCCAAATCCAAATAGGGCCTTGCTTACCCCTGTGTTGGTCTCTGTCTGTTCTTCTATTAATATTACATAGTGTGCATTACTATAGGAATATAACTTTTGAAGGCTTCATTTAGGTATAATTGATATACAAAAATTGCGTCCGTTTTATGCATCAATTTTAAGGAGTTTAGACAGATATATATACTTGTAACCACCCAGCCCCAGCCAAGCTACGAAACATCTCTATCACTTCCGAAAATGTCTTTGAATTTTTCTGTTTTTTAAGAAATAAGGTGACATTGTCGAGTGATTTATATAAAAAGCTCACAACGATGTAGTTTTATTTTTTGACATATTATTATCAAAATTGTTGTAGCTATGCTTGTTCCTTCCCTTTGCCCTAGACGTTTTTGCATAATCTAGTTTACAACTACAAACAATCTTGCTGTGATTTTTCACAGAGATCATAATAAATGTGTATGTCCATGTAAAGAGAACTATGACAGGAGTCTTGCACTTCACAAAGATAATACACCTCTCAATCAATTAGATCTTTCTCTCATCACTTTCATCAGCATCATGAAGTTTTCAGGACACAAGGTTTGTACAAGGTTTGATTTTAAAATTTGATTTTACTACAGTATTCATCTTTTTCTAGATTTATCATTAAGTATTCGATTTTCGTGGTATTGTATGAGGTCTGAGAATAAAGTTTGCAAACTCATCCTAGAGAGAATGCTGCATACCCCATCACTGGAGATCACCACAGTCATCTTCAAGGTACTCCCCTTGGGAATTTATTCACTGATGTCAGGGCCTTGGCATCCTTCAAAGACATTTTGGCTCCACTCTTCAAAGCCATTGGCACAAATTCATAATGAACAATCCCTCTGATTTCAAAAAAGTTTAGCAACATCGTTTTGACTTTTGATTTGGACTGACAGAATTTTTGGTTGTGGAGAATTGGCTGTATTTCATCGTGCACTTTGACTTTTTGTTTCAGGGTACTGTTGGTACACCAGGTTTCATCATATCATGGCCCAAAACATTGTTTTGCCTCGCGAAAAGGTCTTGGCAAACTTCGACTGTCCTTTGCTTGTGTTCATTGGTGAGTTCCTTCGGGACCATTTTGGACACAGTTTTCCTTAACCATTTCAGTCAAAGTTTTCCTGACTGTTTCTCTACCAATGTTCACTTGGTCTGCTGTGCTTCTCACAGTCAGTTGATGATTTTTAATGCACCATTGGACCACTTTTCACAATGTTTTTGTCAGTTCTGCTTGTTCCTGGCTGCCTCGACCTCTCTTTATCAGTGATGCTTTTTCTTCCCTTAGAAAAATATTTACTCCATTTGCACGGTGCTATTTTCTTCATGACATCATTCCCATAAACTCAGATTAACATGTCCCTGATTTCACTTCCACTCTTGCCACATTTAACAAGAAGTTTAATGTTGCTAATTGCTCTAATTCAAGCTCTGACATTCTCACGATGTCACCCCAAAACATGCAATAACAATAATGAACAACACTCTGCAAGTCACTGCCACACATTGACATGAGCACAACTGTGTTGTCAGCTGTGATATACCAAGCTTATGAAATCTTACTGAGTTGTTTGTACATTGCTGCCAAATTTATGAAATTGTCATACCTTGTACGTTTCATTTCTGCATCCATGATGTTATTCTTACTATAATCAGATACAAATGACTTTTGCATACTAATCTTAGACGATGAAATTTGGTCAAACACACTTATTACATATATGATTTTGTATTTGTTGTTGCTCTTAAATTCTAAAAAATGTTCTATGGAGACAGTCATGTCCTCTGCAACAAGCCACAATGAGGATCACGTGAGCCCAGGAGTTTGAAGTTGCAGTCAGCTAGAATTCTGCCACTGGACCCCAGCCTGGTCAACAGAGCAAGACCCTTTTTCATCCCTGGCATGGGG